TGAGCATGGAGGGAGTATCTTGAGGAACTCTTTAACCCCGCGCTGCCGCAGGAGAACTCGCCTGTAGAGCAGAAGGGTACGGATATTACTATCTCTGAAGATGAAATTACACAAGCTGTGAAAAGCGTGAAAAATGGAAAAGCTGCCGGAATTGACGAAATCCTCTCTGAGATGCTCAAGGCCTTAGGCGAACAAGGCATGTGCTGGCTCGCACGTGTCAAACTGCGATGACTGCAGAAAAGATACAAGCGGACTGGTGAGGCGGAGTTATTGTACCCTATTCAAGAAGGGAGACCAGAAGGGGTGCTCCAGTCATAGGGACATAACGTTATTGAGCCTCCCAGGTAAAGTCTACGTTAAGGTGATAGAAAGGAGGTGCCGCGGAATAACTGACTCCAAAGGTACAGAAGAGCAGTGTGTCTTTCGGCCCAGTCGAGGTAGCTCTGACTATATATTTGCCCTGCGCTGGATTGTTGAGAAATCGTGCGAGCACGCCCGTCCGGTGAATGTGTGTTTTGTTGACCTTGAAAGCGCCTATTTGCGGATCCCACACAATGGTCTGTGGTCATGTGTTTCGAGGATACGGGATAGATTTCCAGCTGCTAAGGGCCATCCAGTCAGTGTATTCCGATAGCATGTGCTGCGTCAGAGTAAATGGTACTAAGTCGAAACCCTTCAACGTTGGCACTGATCTGCGCTAAGCTGCGTGCTGTCCCCTCTCTTGTTTGTGTTGTACATGGGTAGAATAGCCAGGAGCTGCCAAGGCGATGCGTGTGTCGGTGTGGGAGATGTGAAGGCGAGAAGGTTGCTGTTTACAGACGAGCTTTTTTTATTGGCATCTTCTGAAACTGATCTACAGTGATCGCCAGGAAGGTTTGCAGCCGAGTATGACGTGACCGGATTGCGTGTGAACGCATCTAAAACGAAAAGCCTTGTGCTTTCTCGTTCTCCTGTTCTGCTCTCTTTAGTTTAGCGGGGAGGCAATGGTGCAGTTCAAGTCCAAGTACCTCGGAATCGTATTTGCTAGTGATGGAAAATTTGATGAAGTGATCGACGGCGAATTGAAGTAGCCAGTGGCGTTCTCATGAGGTAGTCCGATCCATTGTGATTAAAACAGAGGTCAGTCTGAAAACTATGCTCTGGGTGTTCAAGTCGATCTTTATTCACATACTTACCTACGGTCATGAGTCGTGAACCGTAACTGAAAAGCTTCAAGTAGAATACACCCAGGTACAAGCTGGTGAAATAAGGTTGCTAAGATGAGTCACTGGCCTTACACGTTTTGACATGTTCTAGAATACAAACAGCCGGGAGTGCCTTGGCCTACAGCCTCTAATTCTCGAGATTGAGAAATAACAGCCGCGATGATTTGAATACGTGTTGGGAATGCCTCCAGAAAGGAATGCTAAGCAACTGTTTCTTGCCAGGCCGACCCGCAGAAGGCCCAAAGGACTGCGAAGATTCGCCCGGTTTAAATAAATTGGAGTCTGTTACAGACTCCAGTTGTCTTTTGCCAAAGCTCAGACTCTGGCACAGGATCGAAAACGTTAGAGCTCTGACGTGTCTGCCTCCGCGACCCGAATCGGGAAGCGGCAATTGAGGAGAAGGAT